TTCCTTTGGATTCTTGTTCCTTAGCCTTAGAAGATCTCCTAGTCACATGGTCCTTCTTTTCTCCTTAAAGAAAAAGAGAAACTATGGGTAGTTTGCACTGCAGACATGGCATGTGATAGGCGTTGCCTGCAGTGTCTGTAGTGCAGACTACAAACCTTTGTCAGAATTCTGAAATTTGTATTTAAAGCTGTTACTTGTGTTAGAAACAGGCAGCTGGGCTTAAACTTTATAAAGATTAATTGAAATAGCTAGAAAGTCCAAGTAGCTCTACTCTTGTACAAAGCATTTAATCCACCAACAGAAGAAGGTCATTCTGTTCTGTCACTGTGAAAGGCGTCCTTTAAATGCATAAAAGTACAGTTTTAATTCTGATTTCAATGAATAGAAGTGTTAACAAAGAATGTTTTCCCAGTCTGTTAACCAGCACATTATATATGTTTCAACTACTGTGCCTGTATTGGACTTGCAAAAATAATACAGAAACCTCTGCATTTTTTGGTCTGTTTCATAGCTCTAAAAAATTGTCTATCTTGTAAGAGTTGGGCATCTAGATCTCTCAGTGTTTTTCTGTGATAGTCTTTTCCCTTGAGAGAACACAAATATTTAGGGAAGAAGGGGGAAAATTAATACAAAGAGTTATTCAGAGTGGTTCTGCTTGCCTTTCAGAGTTGGCTTTCATCTTGAAGCTCACTGTTTGAATCCCAGATTTTTTCCCCATCAGCCCTTGGTTCTACTGAGATCATTGTTTTAGCTCTCATGTCTTGTATGCATCAAACACTTCAACAGCTCCTCTAAGTACTTTAGTTCCCTCATGCAAATGAAGGGCTTTTATTCGTTAAGCAACTTAAGCTTTATTTCTCTGGTGCAAGGAAGTGTTAAGCTACATGCATAATTGAGGATTAACCCCACTTTTTTTTTGTCTTTCAGTCATTTTACATAAAATAACAGCCATATGATTCAGTCTTTCTTTGGAATTAAGAGGGATGCTTCTACTAGTAGAGTGTAACATAAGCTAGTTTCATTGTTTTCTAAAATACTTTGTTTTCAAGATGGCAGGTCTTTGTCTTCACAAATGTATCCTGAAAATAGCTGTGTTAGGATGTTTAAAGAATGACTAACCTGGTTTATTACCATATAAAATGTGAATGTCGTGCTTGTATTTAGTTAGTATTTACTTAGTAGTTAATTTTTTACAGATATTATTTGAGAGGGCATTGTTTCCTTCTGCTCAGTGTTGATCAATATTCTGAGTAGAGATGTAAGCACCTTTCAATTCTCCTGCAGTTGACTTCCACGGGACATGGGTTTTCAAGTTGTTCCCTAGGTATTTCTCCCTGCAAAATTACTGTGTGCTAAAGATGTGATGTATCCATGGTAGGTGAATTTGTGAACGACCAGCGCTTCCTCTATTTCTGAGCTTTGAGGAGTTCTAAATGCTAGGAGTGTAGACTTGCGTATTTTTCAGGTATTACAAGCAAGGTATGGGGAAAAATCTGGCAAAGGAAGGAATTTGGAATAGCACGTCTATGATCTGTAAGTGCTTTACAATTTTGTTTTCTAGAAATCCTTTCTTTGTTTATAAGCACATGTAATTCTGACACAATTTTTCTGTTTGAGTTAATTCTTCTTGTGGGCTTGGAAGAGTAACAAGTCATGCCATGGAGAGGGTAGAATCTGTCTTATATGCAGACGGACCATTTCTGGAAAACATAAGTAGGCAATCCAATCAACAAAATACAGCAATCCAGTATGGTTGTGTTGCATTATGCAGTATTGACTGCTAGTAAATTATTTCAGTACAGGAAACTCACATTCTGGGAACATAAATTAGTAGTTGGAAGGTAGCAAAGTAACTGAATTACTTGCTAGACGGATCTGATAGGAAACGTTATGCTCTTATCCCTCCTTTAATGATAGATTTCCTATTTAACTAATATCCTCAAATACTCATGATAAAAACCATCCAAAAACCTAAAATATTACAGTTGCTGAGATACTTTATTCCTTCAGATCACTTAGGCAGGAAAATAGATGCCTATTTTCCAGCTATGACAAGGTTCATTTCCTTTCTGTCAGGAAGTCTTTTAGCTGGGCAGAGATGTGTGGGAATACATGTGGACATCAAAGCCTTCCACTGCCCTTACTGCAAGTACAAAAGAAGGCTCAAGGCCTCTCTCTGATACAGTGTGTATGGATTGAAACTGGTGGATTACATGTCCTGTTTTTGTTGTCTCTTAGATAAACTGCTGAAGGAAATAAAATGACTGCACAGTTAAATATGGAATGCTTTTTAAGAGCGCTTCTTCTATGCGATAGAAGGAATTTTCCAAATTTTGGACTTCGTGATTTCTCTGGCATTTGTGGATGTTAGCCTTCAAAGATGTGTTTGAGTTGCTTACACAAGAAAATCCTGGCTTAAGATGTGCATTCAGAAGACACATATGGCAAGCTATAGATGTTACAAAGACAAGGACATCTTGCATCCCTAGTGCATTAACTGAGAAAGATGTCTTTGCTAGTTTGGAGGGCCGTGGACTTCAACCAGTTCACTGTTTCTAATTCTGTACTGGTACATAATTGCCTAAAAAGAATGGGAGTGCCTTTATGAAACTTCTTAAATCAACCTGCATGTTTTTGCATATTTCAAGGGTTTTTTTTTTTTTCCCATGTAGTACATTGTTTGTCCATTTTGGCTACATTCCATTTCATTTCCTGGTAAGCTCCTACTTCAACGTTCTGTTTTAAAGTTTATTGTTGGAATATTGAAAGGCACAGCCTCTCTCTGAGTAATGCTCTGGGTTTTCTTCTGTCTTAGTCAAGTAATTTGTTTATGTAGACTTTATATTACTATGGTTATATTAAGTCCATCATTATGCCAAAATGAAGGCACTTGTATTAGCAATCATGAATTTAAACAGAACATACTTTCACCACTGTCTGCTTGGAACGTTTGTCTGCTCTATCTTGTAGGCACTTGCATAGTGACGCTTTCTCCTTTTTTGAAGTGAGCGTTTTACAGGATTAGAAAACAAATTTAACTGAATGAATTGAATATGAATGTGCTATGTTGCTTTAATAGCCTTCTGAAATCTGCTGCTTAATGTATATTGGGTGGGTTGACAGGACAGTGGGAAGATGCTTAGCAGCTTGTGGCAGTGTTGAAGTAAATCATGCGAAGAACTCATCCTATAGCATAATGAATAGGATATAACCACTATCACCTACACTGGGAAAATTAACTTTTAGAAAAGTTTAAGGAATGAAATGCTTTTGCAGTGGTTTGTCAGGAATATGGTGCGCTGACAGTTGGATGATGTGGGTGGTGCTCCATCTTGCAGTGCTGGAACCCCAGGTGTAGCGCATGGCAGGAGAGAACGGTGGGCAGATGTCTATCAGCCTCTTCACACTTACGTTTCCTGCCAGACATTTTGTGCTGCTGGCACAGATGGCTTTCAGTCGATGTGGCAGCAAGTGTGCCATGTGTACTCTATTCAGTATTCTTAGCTTAGGGAGAAAGCATCTGACAGGCTTTGAAAGTTAAAAAGGCAGTGGTACCTAGAAGAGATAACATCTAGGAGGTTCACAAGGCACTGACCAAGCACAGATGGTGATGTTCAGGTGCAAAAGTAAAACGAGTGACCAGAACCATGCTCAATAAATTAAACTGTTGCCAAAAATGAATGAAGTTCCTTTTTCTTATTTTAACCTTCATTATCTAGAAGGTCTGCAGTTCAGAGCAATTTCTTTCTGCTATTATTCTGCCACTGACTTGCTATGTTATCTTCAGCAAATGCATGTAATGAATTCTGGGAAGCTGCTTATTAGCTGTGAAAATGTAGTTTGTTATCTAGATATCAAGCTTTTGACAACTGCTCCTGGAGTTGTTGTCAGCCTCTTCCTTTCTGCTTCTCCATTGACAACTGGGACTAACCATTAGAAATGAAAGAGTAAAAACAAAACCTTACTTTACATCATGCTGACAAATTACACACACGTTTAATTACTACAGAATGTTGTATCCCCTGCATTAGTTCCTAGAAGATAACATTAATGAAACTGGAGTTTGAGAGTTACTTGGGATAATGTTGTCTTAAAATGGTGTCTTGAGAATTATTGCTGTACCACCATTGGTGTCAGTACTTCAGTTCTTGTCATCTCTTCGCTTTTGTTTAACTCAAAACTATTTGTTTTGTGTGTTTTTCTGTTTTTAAAAAAAAGAGAATGGATTTTTTGGGGGGGAGACAAGAGGGGTTGGGCCGGATGTCTTCCACAGGTCCCTTCCAACCTCAGCCATTCAGTGATTCTGCAGTTGTGTTTTATTTTCTCAGTTCATGGTTTCTGTCTATTTAGGTGCATTTCAGGATTGTGGTACATGAGAAAAATATGAAGATAAATATCTCAAATTAGAAATTGCAGGTGGGAATGCAGATGAAGGAAGAGGGTGGTTATTAAATATCCCAATGTCTTTATTACTGAAAGACATTGTTTATGTTTGTATCTGTGACCTAGATGTTGTGTCTTTTCAGAAAATTCCTTGTGTGCTTTCTTCATTAAGTTACAACGACATTCCCTTTATGTTATTTCCTTTTGCTTTTTGAAAATTTCCTGTTCTGCTGCATTTTCCTGTTCTGAGGAAAGGATTTGTGTTTCTTATTATTATTTATCTGTTTCTTTGAGAACGCTGAAAGTCAGCACACTGAACTTGGATTCTGGGGGAAAAATATCAAAGTGAGAATTGGAAATGATTCTGGGCAGTTGATATCAATGAAACTTATGGTGGAAGCAGGTCTTTGACGCATAGAACAGACCATTACCTTTAACTGCCCTGACTGTTATGTAAGATCATGCTTCATTAGCATCAAGATCATGTGAAAGATGAGGATGCGTTGTAAATGTGAATCCACTGGTTTTTCTTCTGAATTTCACCCTTCTCCCCCCTCAGTCTTGTGCTCCCATAGAGGATACTACATATTTCATGTTTGCTTTCTTTTTGTTGGTAGGTAAGAAACCCATGAAGTGTGTTCTTATTACTCCATTAAATCAAGTGTCAGCACTTGTGGAAGCATGTTAGTGAGAAGCCTTGCAGATATCCACTCTGATCACAAGGTTGGTAAGTAAGCAATTCTCTGTCAGACAAATTCTGTACTTTTACTGGCTTTAAGAAAAAACAGTGCACTTTGAGATATGTACTTCTTCCTATTAATAAAAGCAAATAAGCAAATAGATACCTGTAGGGAGCTTGGCTCTCTGAAGGCTTTTTTATTCAAAGGAATTGCTTTCTGTCCCCTCTTTACAGTTCAGTCCCCCCTCTGTACAGTTAGCAGTACATAACTTGTGCACTGATTATTCTAAAAAATGTTTGGAACAGAAAATGTGACAAATAGAAAAAGGTGATGATATCTGTACGTACAAAGGAACTGGACAAATGATAGTGACACGTACGTTTATGCGTTCACTCAGCGATTGTGTTTCCTGATTTCCTGCAGTAGTTGCGTGTAATACTGTTTCTTCACACTGTTTGCTTGTAGTTTTGGTTCCAACCTCCCACTTCTGTTGGTTGAGGAAATGAACACGTTTCTGTTGCTGCTAACTCATTTCATTTTGCAGTGTTGTCAGAGCGTGTCATGTGAGAATGGATGAGAAGGAGCATTAGCTAGTCTTAGTAAAGCTGAAGTACATATTGAAAGCATGTACTTAGTAGCCCCAGAGACCGTCTAGATGTTGAATTCTTGTGTATTTAAACTCTGTGTGATAAGTGATGTACTATTTGCTTTGCTTTTTTTGAAACTCCAAAGGTTAAAAGTAGGATAAGCTGATGTCCACAAGTCACTTCTTGAAATATGCTGTGGTTCGTGAGAAGAGGACTTGATAGTGGTGATTATGATTGCAAACCTAGAGCTATTTATGGAGAATCTTTTGATACCACATGTAAAATCTGAAAAGGCATCTATCAAAAGACTAGACTGGATATTAGAAATGCTTTACTGTGAAGTTAGTAAGGCACTGGAACAGGTTGCCCAGTGAAGTTGTGGATGCCCGCTCCATGGAGGCATTCTAGGCCAAGCTGGATGGGGCTTTGAGCAACCTGGTCTAGAGGGAGGTGTCACTGTCTGTAGCAGGGGGTTTGAACTATGTCATCTTTCAGGTCCCTTCCAACCCAAACCATTCTGTGAATCTTGAAGTAAATTCCTTCCTCGCTCTGAGCTTTTCAGAAACTAAGTAATGTAATAACAGGCCTTTTTCTAATGTTCTCAGCAGCTGGGTAGAAATACAGAATTGCAAACGTTACACTCTTTGATTATTCAAATTGACTTATTTTTACAAATTTTTTTACAAATGGTTGTTTACTGTTCCAGTTACAGAGGTAGGTATTTGCTTGCATTTGTTTGTTTTCTAGAAGGTATTATGTATGTTGTATGAACAAGAACAAACAGTAGTTGGAGAACTTGAGGGAAATGGTAGTGGTGGGCTCTGTAGAAAATAGAGCAGAACAGGAGTAACCAATTTCTTTATGCATTATTATAGTAGGCACAAGACATTGTTTCCTTTTCTATCAGTTAAGCTTTAGTTCTAGGACAGATATGAGCATGGCAGAAGACTCATATTGAAATTGCTCCACTACTGAAAATCTATTTCTTAAACAGTTATGTAATATGTTATAGTATTTTTCTCTCTTTTACAATATGCTTTTTCATTTATTTGTGCTCTGAGTTTAGTGCAGGCACTAGCACCTACATCATTACTGAAAAAGTGTAGTGAAGTCTGAAGGTGGCAACTCTTCATCGTAACTCAGAATTGCCATGAAATTTAATTTAAAATGCATCTCTGCACATATCAGTATCTATGTATGCATAATGAACTCCAGAATTTAAATGTGTATTGGTCTGGTCCATTTACAGTGTTTTTACTTTAAGGGTTCTGTCATATAGAAAGCTCAAAGTGATCTGGGAGGAGAGAGGTGAATTTACGTGAGATATCTGCATTACCTAGTGACTGCAAAGTCAGATCACTGCCTTTGGTGGCACAGAGTCCAATAGGTTCACATTTTCGATAGCTTTGCTGTCAAAGTCTGCAACAGGATTTTCTGAAAAGTGCTCCTGATGACAATACAGATTGGGATGTAAAGAATTCTGTGCTGCCTTAGTAAGAATGTGTGGGAAAATGTTTACTCTTTTGTCAATCACAACTTGAAAACCCAAGCTTTTCTTCATTTGTGCAGTAAAAGAATTTTCTCATATACCAAATTGCTCAATTATATTTCTTGTTACGTCTGAGAGGAAAAAGAGAAGTTGTTTGTCTGTGTAAGCATACTCTGAAAAAGTGAACAGTCTTTTGTTTGCTCTGTTCACATAACACCACTGCCTGAGAACCACAACCCTGTATATAGAAAACCCATAAATGCTTACGGCACCATGTTTTTAAACTGGTATGGTATATTTACTACGTCTAAGAGTTATGTTTAGTCTACTTTGTTTCTTGTTTAATCTGACATCTCTGTAATTCCACTTCTGTAGTGGAATATGATGGGCATTCCCACAAGGCATCTTAATTTAATTTAAGACACTTAAATGTGTGGGCAGATTAATCTCCACAGGGTTGCTTACTGCCTGCCTGTAGTTAACTTTACAGAGGAAACACAGTTGGCTAATTTAGGATGAATGCTACTGTAGATGATTTGATTTTGATTCCTATCCCATAACACTGTTAGTTGCTTTTGCCAAAGTAGACATCTTCAATGTTGGCTTGGGGGGGCAGGGGGAGGAGTATGGAGGACACTTAAATACAAAGCATCTTGCATTACAAATTCATGAATTGTGATATCTGGTTGATATGGGTATGATAGGTATGATAGGTATTGATATGGGTATGATAGGTAACAAATGCTGAAACTAATGCCCATGTCTCAGTCTGGATTCTCCTGTAGTCTGTATACAGTGGAGTTCTAGTTGGACTTCGTACTGGTGGAACCCAAGGTTTAGATCCTGGATTTGGTGTTTGCCTGGTCTAAAAGATCAGAGGTTTTGATTAGGACCAAACAATAGTTGTGCTGACTCTGGGCAGGATTTGAGCTCATAGAGAAGTATGTAGCAGGCCTCATATTTCAATGTAGAATGACTTCTTAACACTATATGTGTTATGATTAAATTCTTTATTTTGAGAATTGGCCCTTTTTTGTTAGGCAAAATTGATAGAATGAGGTTACTTCTCCTGTGTAACCAGCAATGGCACTAGAGAGAATGGCCTCCAGTTGTGCCAAGGGAGGTTCAAGTCGTATATTAGGAAAATAATTACTGTCTGGAAGGGTGATCAGGTGCTGGAATGGGCTGCCTGGGGAGTGGTGGAGTCACTGTCCTTGGAGGTGTTCAAGAAACATTTACATGTTGTAGTAAAGGTCATGGGTTAGTGGGAAAATACTAGTGGTAGGTGGACAGTTTGGCTGGATAATCTTGAAGGTCTTTTCCAACCTTGATAGTTACAACTGTGAAGTCAGAACTATGCATTCTGACTGGTCTGCAGTGATCACTATGTAGAGCTGGAATGATGTGCAGATACACAAGCACGTGCTCAAGTGTGCATCTGTGCTGTGTGTAGTTGTGTACTGGAGCAGTTGGATTTTAACTGTGTAAATGCATGCATGTCTGCTAAAGACAAAAGACCAATTGGCAGACTTGTGCTCATAGGAGGTTGTGTTTTTAACATCTGTTGAAAGGTTTTAATTTCAAGGAATGGATATATCTGCAGGTAACCAATTGAAACTAAAAGAGAAACCTTGCTGAAAAATTGGAGTGAACTCCACTTGCTTATTCCAGTGGTTGGCAACAGAGCTGGTGAAAGGTATTGCCTTATTTTACGTGAAAGTGTTTTAAATCTAGAAACTCTCACTCGGGAAGAGAGCATGCTGTAATTGAGGTAGATTACTGGGCTAGGAGTCAGGAGAGCTGTGTACTGGTCCAGCTGTGTCACTGGATGGAGCGTTGTAGTCTTGTTAGTGATTACTCATCCTCTGACCTACTGTTGGCAGTTCTGGAAGCTGGAGACTGGCTGCTTGTGTTTGTGCGATGCTTACTGCTGGTGCTAATGGCTGATACACTTCCAATTTCTTACAGAATTCAGAAGACAAGTTTGGATCTTCTCACATACTAACATTGTACTAGCGGGGCATTTGGCTGTAGTTTTTGCTACGATTCTTCCCTTGACAAATAACTTATCTAAAAACTCATTAAGAAATATAACCTGTGTTCAAGAACCTCATTAGCCACTTCCCAGCCCACCTTTACACTCAAATCCCTTCTTATGGGACATTAGGATAAACAAACTTCCAGCAGAGCATCCTGGCAAATAAAAAAGCTGATGGCTTTGTCAGACTTTTGTGCTGAAAGTCAGGGGTGGCCTGGAAGAAGAGGAGATAATGGTCCTTACCTGGCAATTAGAAGCACGTACTCAAATCAGTTGAGATGGTTGTCCCAGCAATCTGTGTGTGTGTTATGGTAGAGTTTGTAATTCCAACTTGATATAAGGAGCATGGGGATTTGTGTTGCACAAAGCAACGTTGGTTGTATTTTTTATTCTGGTTACATTTTCCTCATATATTCTGCTTAATTACAAATGATTAGTTTGATGCTTGAAGGCAGAATCTGTTGAAATTTACCAAAGCTGACACTTAACTGTATAGGTGGTTTCTGTGCTAAAGTCTCATTTTCCGTGTAGATCTCTGTATAAGGCAGTAAATTATTCAAGAAAATCCATTGATGTGGTGATTCTCATAACGGGATGAAAAGATCATTAAATTGTTTACTGGCTTTTTTTAAAGCAAAATGTATCTACTGTAATCTGGCCCAAGTCAAAGCTGTATTTAGGCACTGAAGTCAAGCTTAACCAAATTCAGGCAGATGAAAATTGCTCACTTTAAGGAGGATCAGCTTAGAGGAAAGAAATATTTTCTAACTTTAGGCTGTTAGAGGTCTGATTTTATTCTGATGTTCTTTGACTATCACGGTTTTGTGGAGTCTGTCATTAGTTACGAATGCTGCTCAGGAAATGTAACTTGCTAAAAGTAATGAAATTAACATTGCAACTTCCTACTGGGTACAAGCAAACAGTGGCTGAACT